GATGCAACCTAATGTCAGGTATATCGCTATGTCTGCAATTGCGACATGTTTCGCCGCTGGAAACAGCGTGTCTTTTCAGAGCACTGTGGGAATAGGCGATTCGAACAAGTTCACATTCCGCTATTAACGATTGCAACCGTTGTGGTCATGACACCTTACCTGCTGTACGATAGGATCCACTTGGTTATTGAATACATTTCGTGCTTGCTGTGCATATCCGCTCTGTACAGTCGGTTGTCGGTTCAAGTTGCAATAGCTGTAGTCTTGGGGGTTGGACGGCTGCCAACTCGATACTTGGCTAAAATAACAAGAAGATCAATCATATTCTATGTCATAAAAAAACGTAATAAAACAGTTCTGGCAAAGTTTTTGGCAAGTGGGTGTGTAGCGTTCTTCCTTAAAGGCATGGGTCGCAGTCGAGTGGGTGTGTATTGTTTTGATCAAAAATAAGAAAAGAAGTGCAAAGTTGGTCTTAGTGGAGGAAAAAAAGCAAAAATCATCATGAAATACACTACAGTTTCATTTGTGAAGCCGATCGTGGTACGATAGAAACGCAGCGCTGTGCGAAAGGGGGAACGCAGGAGAGCACGTTGTACGAGAGTGCGCAGAGAGCGCGTGTTGCGGAATTAATGAGAGTGGCAGCGGTCGCAGCGGTTAAGTGATGGCATTAATTTTTTGTCGAGCCCTAAGACGCAACAGTATCAACACCCAGAGTGTTAGAGGTCCTGCTACCTCACTCGAAAGAGAATTTCTCTAAGGATCTAATCGCGACCCGTGCTTTGAGTGTAAGTTAGCATCACGTGCGGGGCGGGTTCCCTACCCAATTTGCCTCTTCATCACCAGCCTCACCACCACTGCTGTTTCATAGTAAATATTTGATTATGAGTACCTGTTACGTACTCAAGCTTGCCGTGAAATATTTCCACGTTTTCTCTGAAACTGTCATCGCGGGGGGAAGGGGAGGAAGAGAGGGCAGGGGGAGGGATAGAACAACGCAAACCCCTTACCACACCACCACGAGTCTTTCCAAAAATCTCAAACATGACCCCCCCGTTCATCTTTACTCAAAGTAAAGCCGACACTGGACGCAATCGCGATGAAAATGGCGACCTGGCTCACACTGTCTTAAAAAGATAAACCTTGTCCCATTCGGTGAACGCGTCCATAGCCTAGCGGGTTGCATATCTACGTCAAAATGGATTGATTATCGGAGAAAACTGGCGCCGCTGGCATTCCGTTTGCGACGACGTCGCAGCGACTCACTAAGTCTTGTACCGAGGTATCCGACAACAGGCCTGTCGCGCGGCGAGAAGGCAGAGACGCAGACCGGTCGGCGGACGAGTCGCAGCGCATACTTTGTGATGTACATTAGATTCAAGCGTAACGCTAATTAGCTACAGTACGCGCTGCGACTCGTCCGCTGATCCGTCTGCGTCCCTGCCTTCTCGCCGCGCGGCAGGCCTCCTATCAGGTACCCGTCTGAGCCGCTACGGTACATCTGTTGTGATTAAAATGCAAGGAGACTATCTATCTACAAAGCTTTCGTTCACGAAGTGAAGATCGGCAACGACTTTACGATCTCTTTCGATACATAGCTCACCCCTCCTTAGCGAATTGCGTCCATTTTTCACCCATTTGATCGGCCATACGGAAGTCGTCCGTTGTTGGAGCAGCACTATTCCCTGAGCTCCAGATCGTCTCACTCATGAACAAGAATATCATATCTTGGCCCTTGTAAACGGCTGAAAAAACAGTTTTACTTGGCAATCTTCCAACATTTCACATACACTATTGCTTTGACTAGCTATCAAATGCTTCTTAACTACTTCTTACTCATACTATTCCTTTATTCAACTTTTTTCAACTATTTTTGAGTTCCATTGTAGAATAGGGAATGAGAAAATCCAATTCGATAGAAATACTCATCCTATTATTATATTTTCCACTGATCCGGGAAACTAGACTCTAAAGTGACTGGGGGTTAACTAAGTGAGTAAATGACACCAGTGCCTCAGGAATTGCCCCTACATCATTTAGATTTCTAAAAGTATTTTGGAGTTCAAACGAAAGTTGCCTTTAGCCCCCAAATAATATAAGGTATGTGAACGGCGGTGACTTCACGTTTCCATGACTGTATCGGGCAATTTTGCCGTCCAAGATCACTAACATGTGTGAACTGATACACTCTGACATATTGATTGCCATTTTGCATGAACGAATCGATTTCAGTGGCCGTCTGAGACACGGTACCCGCATCGGACGATATCTAAAATGGATCGATTATTGATTAATCTGCTCAAATCCCACTCGGTAAACTAGCCTGAGAGATGGACTTCAGAGACGCTATAGTTTGCGGATTATTGGCCACCGATTGAGTATTAGACCCGCTCTGAAACCAAAAAGGGTTGAAGGTAATGCTATCGGACAAGGATAATGAACATCAAAACCCAGAGGGACGCGTGCGGTCGCGGGGCGTTGAGGCCGCGCTGCGACCGCGCGCGTCCTATTACACGCTGCCACGGTTTTGCGACAACGAAAGTTTCTTTCAATGCATCTCGCAAACTCACATTTTGATCATACTGCAGGCCGAACTCGTTAGCCGATCCTGGCACAGGGTACTGATTGCTGCCTTGACCATTAACGGGGCCGTAGGCAACGGGCTGGCCTTGGCTGTATCCTCCATTCTGGTTACCGTACCCATTGTTTTGGTTACTGTAGCCGACATTTTGATTACCGTAGCCATTGCTCTGACCAGAGTAGCCGTTGTTCTGGTAAGTATTACCAGAGTTCTGAGCAGGGTATACGCCAGCAGTATTCCGATATCCTCCGACTAGGTTGCCATAGAGCCGTTCTGGTCGTTTGTTCACAGGAAACTTGTCCTCCATAGGGAAATTTTGGTTGCATGGCCACGCAACCAGCACTTGGACTGACATTCACATTCCTGTTCGGATTACTGATTGTGTGTTTCCGATAAAACTTGCACCATTGGCTGGTATCCATTGTTCAGCATCTGATTGCCATTATAATTGAACTGCGGCGCTGATGTGCTAAAAATCAGCAACAGTCAGTCACTCCGTAAGTAAAAAATAAGGATTAGTGCTGCCAGGTTGAAGCCCTGTAAAAAGTCAGGCTTGCCCATTCGTGGGAAATGTGATTTCGCGCGCGTTACTTTTGCGTGGTGATCCGCAATAATTCGCGCAAACGCTTCAGGTATAATGACGTTGCCTGCGCCGTGCTAACAACACGTTTAACTTCAAAATTTCGAGCAACAGAGAGTTCAGGAAAGGTATTACGATTATAGAGATTTTTCCTATTTAATTGGATCGCTACACGGTAGGGAACAGTGGAAAGAACTGAGTAAACCAACAGTGGCAGCATGAAGAGATTTACCTTGCATCGTACAACGGCCCACTTGGAGTAACATTGTAGTTTTGTGAAATGATTTGAGAAACCTTAATTGAAAAATTTTAGTCCGAGTTCTGTGTTGTATGTCTGTACGTCTTTTGTCTGTCTGTCTGTCTGTCTGTCTGTCTGTCTGTCTGTCTGTCTGTCTGTCTGTCTGTCTGTCTGTCTGTCTGTCTGTCTGTCTGTCTGTCTGTCTGTCTGTCTGTCTGTCTGTCTGTCTGTCTGTCTGTCTGTCTGTCTGTCTGTCTGTCTGTCTGTCTGTCTGTCTGTCTGTCTGTCTGTCTGTCTGTCTGTCTGTCTGTCTGTCTGTCTGTCTGTCTGTCTGTCTGTCTGTCTGTCTGTCTGTCTGTCTGTCTGTCTGTCTGTCTGTCTGTCTGTCTGTCTGTCTGTCTGTCTGTCTGTCTGTCTGTCTGTCTGTCTGTCTGTCTGTCTGTCTGTCTGTCTGTCTGTCTGTCTGTCTGTTGCTTGCGTCGTGCCTCCGTGCTCGGTCTTTTTCTCTTTTTTTTATCATTCTATCATTTTGTTTTTTGTTCTGTTGTCTTTCTGTCTGTCTGTCTGTCTGTCTGTCTGTCTGTCTGTCTGTCTGTCTGTCTGTCTGTCTGTCTGTCTGTCTGTCTGTCTGTCTGTCTGTCTGTCTGTCTGTGTCTGTCTGTCTGTCTGTCTGTCTGTCTGTCTGTCTGTCTGTCTGTCTGTCTGTCTGTCTGTCTGTCTGTCTGTCTGTCTGTCTGTCTGTCTGTCTGTCTGTCTGTATCCTTCGTTGTCTTTCGTATAATGTCTGTCTGTCTGCTTCGCATGTGTATGTCTCCGCTGCTCGTCTTTTTTTATCATTCTTAATCATATTTGTTTTTTTATGTTCTGTTCTGTCTGTCTGTCTGTCTGTCTGTCTCTCTGTCTGTCTGTCTTCTGTCTGTCTGTCTGTCTGTCTGTCTGTCTGTCTGTCTGTCTGTCTGTCTGTCTGTCTGTCTGTCTGTCTGTCTGTCTGTCTGTCTGTCTGTCTGTCTGTCTGTCTGTCTGTCTGTCTGTCTGTCTGTCTGTCTGTCTGTCTGTCTGTCTGTCTGTCTGTCTGTCTGTCCTGCCAACTAGGAAACATACCTGGTTGGCAGTGTTTGGATCGAGTCGATTCTGACGGGCAAAATCCAACATCCAGTTGTTGAACATTTCACCTTGACTTTCGTTTGACTCACCAGTTGAAATAAGTTTGAAAGCTGAAGGAAATCAAGAAAATGTTATTCGATTCAGACCACACAGAAATCTAATTACCGTAGTCCGCATTCTCGTCCTGCACAGTGCCGATTATAATCGGAATTCGTGGACGGCGTGCGGCAAGATTTTCGATGGAATCCGGCAGAAATGCATCATCACGCACTATCATCCAGGAAGCGGTTGTCGTCTGAGTAGAAGGTAGCATTAAAGGCACAGTCCGCGAACGTAAAATTGGGGTGATCTGGGTCAATTATGGATCAGATGCTACGTGATGATTTCGTCGTGAGAAAAAAACGAAAAAACTATCGAGCGCCTGATAAAAACCTTCTGCTCTAGGCGGTGAAGGGAAATTCTGGGGAAGGACAATGTGGGCGAGAGAACGGGGGTGGACAGTGAACAAGAGAGTATTACAGGTGGCGAGGCCCACAGGCTACTAAGCAGTCGGCACGTGGGCTAACTCAACAAAAGTATGATGCACCACCCATTGTCCTAAGCCCCTGGCGCTCTTTTGAGGGTTGAATCGCTACAGACACTCCTATCCAGAAAGTTGCGCGTGTTTGAAAACCTTCCTAGCGGAGGGTAAGTTAGATTGACCTTTACAGGTGCGAGTGGCAGATATTAGTTAAGAGACTCTACAGAATCTCTGATAGAATGCGGAAGAAAATCAGAGGTACATTCTTACTTGTAAAGTCACTGAGTTGTAAAAGACCATTAGGCGAGCGATTATTTGAACCGAGTTCTTGGAGTTGATGTCGGATAAATATTTACAGAATCTCTTCGAAAGTCTGACCGCTGTTTCAGGAGTTAGGTGACGGTGGCTTAGGTAGCGAGTTTGCGACTCTCAATCGCGCGCAGGGTCTAGGGCCGAATCTCTTATCAAAACCAAGTAGTTTTCCCACGAAAACTCACTTCCTTTTCCCCCCAGTACCTGTTGGGCAAGCTGTTGACTAGGATCCGACACATCGTACATAATGTTACCGGCATTATATGAACTACCAGGGTCATTGCGGATCGAACCCTGATTCAGGGGCATTTGCTGTTGATTTCCTTGATTGTTATATCCCGGCGATCCTTGGTTATACGGTGCCCCAGCATCATACTGTAGCACTGGCATCTGTGTTGTTTGCGGTGATACGGTCGAAGCCAGATCGGGAGAGTAACAACTTTGAAGGGGTCCACTTTGTACGATAGCTTGGTTGAAAAGGTCTGTAAATAGTCGATTTCTCTACTCAAACTGATTGTGTCGTTATGACCGATGTCAGACTTTGCGAATCGAGCGATTCGCTAGCGTCTGCGGTCGCGTCGCGGCCAGTGAATCACTCAATTGGCTGGTACCGCAACGCGACCGCGGACGCTAGCGAATCGCGCGATTCGCAAAGTCTGACATCGGCCCATAGCCGAGCCAATCAATTACAGGTTAAATACAGTCTTGGCACAAAAAGAGGTACTAAATGAGGGATAATGTTCTAAGCTCACTTTGACTCATAGGGCTCAGCGTGTGTGCACAAACTGCACAACCACCGTCTCCTTGTCCAGCTAGAGTGATCCGATTTGGATCACCACCAAAGTTGACAATTTCTGTCTTCACCCACCGAAGTGCTTGGACCTGAAATGGAGGCGGTCTGAAAGGGTTTGTGTTAGATTGTAGTCCTCCCAGCCCTATAGCCATCTACGGAACTAAAGGTGAGAGAATGAGGAATGGGAGAGAGAAAGGGGAATAAAATTCCAGTAGGTAGCAAAGAATTTGCGGTATATAAGTCAGTAGAGGAAGATTTCGATGGCGAGTAAAAAGTAGGTCACGACGTCGTGATGTGGCTCATAATGCATGATTTCTCGCGGCCCGTAGTGTGCACTATGAAAGCGGGGGTACCCGACAGGAGGCCCGTCGCGCGAGAGGGAAGGCAGAGACGCAGACTGGTCAGGCGGACGAGTTGCAGAGCATGGAGTATGATGGAAGTACTGTAGCAAATTCTATTCAACTTGACGCGAAATCACAGCAGTACGCGCTGCGACTCGTCCTTTGGCCCGCCTGCGTTTCTGTCTTCTCGTCGCGCGACGGGCCTTTTGTCGGGTACCCGAAAGCGTGTCACGATATTCACATGGCGGTGGTGCAACGGAAGCGACAACAGCACCCTCTAACAGTACCGCATCAAATCGAAATTGCATACACTTTGACCCGGGTACGCCGAAGCGCGCCAAAGCGATACGGTTCACTCGGCTGCGGTGTGCAAGGACGGAAGCGAACAGCAGCACGCCTCTGACAGCAGGCCGATAGCCGGTATCCAACCGAACTTGCCATCCATAGCTGATCTGAGTAGTGTTGGAAATGCAGCGAAGAAAATGTTCCTCACTTCTGTGTTCCTTTTTCTTATAACAGTAGGCGTGTTTTTCTTATAGTTTTTTTTTCTCTGAACAAATCCTCTTTTCCTCTGATCAATCTTCTTTTCTCTCTTTTAATTCTCTTTTTTCTTCTCTTTCGATAATGTACTCGTACAATCATTGCTTATTTGACTTGATGCGATAGGCCCGCGCAGGCCGGATCAACTAGGCAGTTCGCAGCTACTCGCTCTGGAACGCGGATCTCCATGACCCCATGTCTGATGATTGAGTATGTTAATCGCACGAAAAGCGAGTGGAACAGGTGTACAGGGTGAAACACTATCTTAATAGGGCTTGTTGATAAGCTGTACTTGCAACCGTCAGTTGTGCGAGTCATTGCCAAATATTAAAGGTTGGATACTACAGCGGCTGTAGCAGAATCGTGAACGAATCCTGAGCATAGACGAAAATAAGCTTTGCCTCAACCTTATTACAAAAATGTCGCATACCGCTTGGAATTCAAAATTAATAGTTACCGCTGCTTGAGAAAAGGAAAAATGTGAAAGAGGAAGAAAACAAGACAATCAACAACAAACATTTGGAAGTCTCCTATAAATATAGTCGGCCGTTATCGAGCCCACCATCCAACTATTTGAGACTTCAGTTGACTCCAATTGAGTATGATAAATCTAGTGGACTTGGAGCTCGAATTCCCATAACCAGATTGAGATACACAAACGAGTTCGCAAAGAATAGAGCTGGTATTCATGTGAAACTTTCATCGCGTTCCATCATTGGTGTACTTTAAAAGCATTCACAATCCAGGAACGAATTCGCGTGTAGGACCACCTAGGTTTAGTTTTTTTCTTAGCGGTTTGCAAGGTGAGCTAGTTGGTTCCCATGAGATTGTAAATTACTTGAAAAAGTAGAAAAAACGGGGCACGTTGCGCTTTAGCCAAGGGACTATCCCGTTGCCTTTTGCCGTTTAAGAGGGAGGGAGGAGATGTGTCGTTGTGAGACCGAAGTCTCGTCCGAACCGAAGCGGATTCACCAGCGTTCAGTTATATCTGCTCACTGTTCAGTCACTTCTTGAACCGGACGCGTCAGTACGAGTTATGCGTGCCCTTCTTGAAAATTGAGAAAATTAGGTTTAACACTGCTCGGTAGCATATCCTCAGTCAGTTATTGCATTCGACTCTGAAGAAAACTTATATATCATTTAAAACTCAAGATGTATTGTTCCTAGAGCACACGATTGTAAATTAACCGAGAACATATTTTGAAGGTAAGACGCATTTCCAGAGTAATTGTCGTGATTGCTCACTTCATGGAATCGAGCGCAATGGTTGTCATACTAATACAGCCTGCGGCCGTCCACTGATTATCGTATGTGCGTACGCGCACGCTCACTACAAGGGGCGAAATTCATCGAACACAAAGCGCGATACCGGGTTTGTGGAATCTTTGAGTTTTAAGAGCGGAATCTTCCGTGCCAAAAAAAGCTGCCACGCCTCTTTCACCGCTTAGAGAGAAGAGAGAGTACCTACTCCTTCGCACAGCGTATGCCTTATGGGGCGATACCTCAGCCTGCCCCTAGCCTCATAAGCATAATAAGCATAAGCAAAACGAACATAAGCGTTTAGTTTCGATAATACTAATCCTACACACAAGACAAAATGATCACTCTTTCCGTGGAAGATTCCTTTAAGGTATCGTTTTCTGTGGTAATGAGGGCGGAGCTTTTTCCGTGGAGGATTCCTTTAGTGAAAGGGGTGTGGCCTTGGCCTTGATAATGACTTAATTCGTAAGAGATGAGTCATTAGAAGTTGTTAGTCGAAATCGTGAAAAGTAGTAAGCTGGAAGGTAACCTCGGGCAGTCGGAAAGCGCTAAGCATGAGCAACATTTGCTGCACAGGAAATTTTCTGGATAAAATCATTTCAGCTACTGCTGGAGAGCTTGCTGGAAATGAAACTGTGCTTGAAGTTACTGAGCCCTCGGCTGAAGTCGTACCCACAACTTCGACACTGACACCTGAAGAGGTGCCCACTACCTCCGCAGCCAATGTCACCGTAACTCCCGGAGTACCGCTTGTGCTGTCCAAAACTCTTGCACCTGATGTCGCAAGAATTCTGGACAACGGTATATTGTTCAGCGTTTTTTTTTGCGAAAATATTAGCCTTATTGCGACCTCGATTTCAGGATGTGGAGATGGTCATACTGATCTGATGGTTTGTGAGGGATACTTTGCCGATTATTTGGGCAAGGTGAGAGAATGGGCCGACAAGCACAACCAGGTGATGGGCGAGCAGATGTGGAAGGTCAGTACGGTATTTTTGAGAATACTCCTGAGTTTAACAGAGTCCATGTTCGACTCTCGGTCAATCTTGGCATTGCGAGAGTTACTTTCAGCGAGGTTTCTTGAGCCGCAACCAAGATATTATGAACGTTTTACTCGGCTAACGTTTCGGCCGTATCGCCTTCGTCGGAGCCTGGAAAGCCAAAGATAAATGCGATTCACCCCCCAAACACCATTTTAAACTTCAAGAGAAGTCCCATAGACCGAATGTCTCTAAGGAAGGCACTCCTGAGTTTAGTTTTGTGGCTTCGTAAAAATGAGCAAATCTTTCTTCATGTACGGATTACACTCCATTAAGGCACCTTCCATGATTTAGTTGACCTAGGAATGTGTTTAACTTCGTGCCCGAAATGAAAATAGATGTGGAGATTGGTCCACTTCGTGATGAAAGAACGCGAGAACAACTGATAAAAATTTCTGCAGTTACATTACGTTCCAACCACATGGGCGGAGTTTGCGCTTCGCCGCAGCGTGGCTCTCATTGGTTGGTCCCATCTTTACTGCATTTCAGTGTGTTTCACTATACTATCAACAAGAGCCAGCCAGTTAGGTTTTTGCAGGGGCGAGGCGGAAACTCCGCCCATACGCTCAGCGCGCAGAGTGATTTTGACGTTTAACAACAGTTTTTTTGGATTTCATAACTGGTGGACGAACTACCACTACTAGATTCAGTTTTGAGCTCAATAGCCGACACCTGCCCAATCATGAAATGTGCCTTTAAAAAACTCACTAAGTCTGGTTCCATATCTGCGTATCTGTTCAGGTAGAGGGTACCGTTATGGCCATTTGGGACGCTTCAAAACAGTAAGTTGAGAGTGAGTTTGCAAAGAATGCTATTAAGTTGAGAAAAGGATGGGCGTCCGCGAAAGCCATTTTTAGAGTAGAATCAAGCTCTACATTTACCTAATCAATAAGGGTGATGGGTCGAAGTGGCCATATGCAATGAGACCTACACCGGTGGATGTGTTTTGGACGCTGATCTCGAATCTGCTTTCCAAATCTGCCAATCGATTTTCTGAACGGAGTTATGAAGCAAAATAGAGCAGCGGTAGTGGTCCGGGCTCACGACGAGAGGTCGTAGAACGATTCCCAAAGGGTGATTTGGCTACAAATTACCCCTTGTGTTATTTTTATCGCCTGAACATGAAGATTGCACCTGCGTTTTGTGGACTCCACGTGCACTAGTCGTCAGTTAGTAGAGCCCAACTTGTGACTCCCCCGCAAAGTCTTTGTAAGGTGACAGGCAAGCGTCGATCGAGTAACATGTTTTGAAGCCGTCCGCAACCATGTTGCCACGAAGGCAAAGCGGCGAACTTGGGGGGGAGGGGAAAGATCCTACGACTACTTTCCCGTGAGTCCGGTCAGCTACCGTTACCCCCTATTTGCTTTATAACTCCGTTCGGAAAATCGACTTGGCAGATTTAGGAAAGCAGATTCGAGGTCAGCGTCCAAAAACACACCACCACTATAGGTCTCATTGCATATTGGCCACTTCGACCATCATCCCTTCGTGGTTGCACGTATGAGCAACATTATTAGGGGTAAAATTGTGATACAATGGAATTAGGGTCCAATTAAAGATGCGGGAACAGCCTGTAGTGGTATGGGCATGTGCTAAGGAGGCCACAGGACCACCCGATAAGGAAAGCGATGGACTTCGAAGCGCAAGGCAAGCGACCGCGAGGAGCCCCAAAGAAGAGGTGGAAAGACGTATCAAGAAGGACCTAAGTGAAGTCACGGTCCACAGCAAAAGATGTGCTGGACGACTGATAAAGGCAGCTGACCCTGCGACTGCACGAAACTAACGCCAGGGCGAAGAAGAATAATATGAAGAGGGGGCAACCGTCCAGGAAAGGGGCTAAACAGGGTTACAAATTGGTAACTATACCTGAGTTTAGAGTGTAGTTAGCTCATGAGGTAAAATATACGTTTGAAAACATTTGAAAATCAGTTTCTGTCTTTTCTAGGCATGCTCCTTGTTGTCTCGAGTGAAACACGTGCCAACGATGTGCTGCACACAGTTCCGCTCCACCTGCGCCACCCACCTTCAGCCGACCGAATAAGATGCCCCGTGGCACCACCATTGCCTTCATTTCCTGTACATACGCTCATTTCAGGCGTGTTTGAGAAAACGCTTTCCTCTCTTTGCCGTCCGATCAGATCGATTTGCATCCATAGCATATGTGAGACGGTGGATTTTCCTGAGCGCCCCAAAAGTTACAAAACTCATTGTCTCGTTGTGCTTATATACTTATGTTTTCCACTTCGATTTGCGGGATACTGTAGTTCCTTTGCTTGTATGTGTATGAGTCCCACTGATGTTTTCCACGCTTTTTTGTCTCTCCATTTATTTTATATGCCAAACTGTGATACTCGTACGGCTTTTCGTGTCTTACTAGCCCAACGGAAAGCCTTGCCCAATAATTGTCAGTGCTTTTTGCTTTGTAGATTTTTGAATAAACGTCACTAAGAACACGGAGTCCATAGCCATGGACATGGAACATGGAGTCCAAAGAACTGGCAGAAGAAATGCGGGCGACCTACCAAACGAGACGCAGACGCACGAGCATTTCTCTAAAATCACGTAGCGTTTAATGCGATGGCAGAGCTGTTATGGTGGTTCACAT